CATGTATGGACGAATGTTAAGAAACCCCCTTTTAACGATTATCTGTGAACTCATTGTTTTTCGTGAATCCGCGACAGAAAACTGTAGAACAATATCGAATTCGAGCAAGATATCCGCGAGTGAAGTCGAGTACACCGCGCTTATAATAATACATAAGCGAAAGACTACGAATAAAAATACTTATTACCCACTAAACGCGTACGTAATGCTATATATATCTGCTCTTTGTTGCCATCATTTATGGAACGACATTTCTTGGAACGTCAAAAGTGATTTCAACAGGGGATCCTCATTCAAAGCGGTATATCAGCAAATTCAGGAGTACTGCACGCCGCGACGACTCACGCGTGAATGCGCTCTCCCCGCGATGTATCGGGTATTGCGCTTGCGCGAGAATAAGTATAGTACGCGTGTGCAAGAGTATTCTTCACGTGTGTGGCAGAGACGAACGTTATCATTGTGCATTAGCGTCGCGTATTGGGTAATTTACTTATATTCTATATTATTGCTGCTTTTACGAACTCGTNCCGGCGCACCCTATAGTCTTTAGTAAAAAATTTAAACTTTTACTTGTCATTATTGCTATATCTTTAGTACCGTTACCTATGCATTACACATCAACTGCAATATAGGTAAAATATGAAAACAGTGCGTACTGCGTCGGAGAGGAGGACCATGAAGTGTTGAATAACTTCCTCCCTCCTGCAGTTGTATCTGTGTTCCTCTACGAAATGAATGTTATCATAAAGTATTATAACATAAACCGTATTCTCTTATTGGCAACCGGATTATGGCCTTATCAAAGATCCGCCTGGAATAAGATTTATGTAGTTTTCATGTTTCTTCTCTTCGTGCAACTTATTATTTTTCAGGTAATATTATCTTTTTTACTTTAGAAAGTTTTTGAGAGAACTTTCATACTGCATCCTAAATCACGATGCATGTCATATGATAGAAGGGAGTTCGTAACTGGGATAGACATTAATTGCTTCCTATAATACTGTTTAACATACGTATCCGTTTCTTTTCCCACTTCATACTTGATACTTAAAAATACGCAAAACTATGTCACAAACGATCAATTTCAAATTGCAGTAATAATATTGTGTTTTTAAAGATTCCTTGTTGTGGAACATAAAATGTTTCCTTAATATATAAAATTTTTTATAGCCTTAGGGGAGAGAAAGGGAGAGAGAGGAGTTGTAAGAGATATGTGCTGAAAAATCTTAGTGATCGAGACAATATATCACACAATCATTTCTTCCAGTTGATGAAATTCGTTACTACGGAATTTAGCCTTCTTTTATTCTTAGAAATTCTTTCAACAGTATTCATAGAAATTGTTTTCTTGTTTAAGTATAGTACGATGTACTTCAGTATGTATAAGGTATACAAATAGTTGGCTGATGTTGAACCTACAGGAACTATCTAATATAAATCTTGTGATTAAATGTTATCGCTACAAATTATAGATAAAGCTATTCATAGAATGTATCAAGAACGATTGGGATATGCTAAAAGATTCGATAGAGATTGAATTAATGAGGAGACAGGCTAACATTGCGCGATGGTATACGAAATATTTTACGCGTAAGAGACACTGCTGTGCATGAAAAAGTGGGAAACACTACAAGCAGAAAATAAAACAGTAACATATTATATTATCACTTTGTGTCTTTTGCAGTGATCATGTATATAATCACTGTCCTGTTTGTTATAACGCATTATCTGCCGCTGATTCTCGACGCTGTGACTCCATTAGTCGAACCTCGGCTACGGAAGCTGGTCGTAGTGCTAGATATGTTCATCGATCAACAAAAGTACTTTCACGTGCTACTGTTAAATATAACGGTGACAGGTTTCTTGGGCATGACCACCGTGTTAGCGGCTGAGACTATGTTGATGGTACTGATACAACACGTTTGCGGATTGTTGAAAGTTACCAGGTATTACTACGCTCGAAACGATATTATTTCGACATATATGTATTGTGAATCTATATATCTTGTATATCTATATATTTTGTGAACACGTTTATCATTTGTCAGTTTTGCGATCGGGCATTATTCCGTATTCGCGCTAATATATTGTTATCTTTGCAGTCATCGAATAACTCACGCTTTCAATAATGATTGCTTGCCTGTTCTTAAAAAAGACAGAAAATGCAATGTTTGTATCAGACTGGCGCGCGCTGTGAAGATTCATAAGAATGCTATCATGTCAGAAAACGTTTAAATTCCTGATATATCTTTCGCACATTGGATTATTGTAATTTTTTGCGCGGCCGTATATTCATTCNGATAATGATTGCTTCCCTGTTCTTAAAAAAGGCAGAAAATGCAATGTTTGTATCAGACTGGCGAACGCTGTGAAGATTCATAAGAGTGCTATCATGTCAGTATACGTTCTAATTACTGGTATACCTTTCGCACATTAGATTATCGTAATTTTTTTACGAGTTGCGCGTCTGTATATTCATTCGGTTCTGATTTGTTAAAGGTTTTCGGACCGCATAAGGCATTGTTTTGCAGTGTACTATATTATAATGGTCTCCTTCGGCGTTGCTTCCTTAAGCATCAATCTATATCGTGTAAGTGTTAATTGTTTTTTATTGTAATTTTGAAGCATGTAATGATATTCAGCATTGAGACCCCACGTCTGCAAGTAAACGAAAATCTTCCTATTTCCAACTTAAGCTCGTCGTATAAGTAGTGCTGAGTATCGTATTTTGGTGTATCAATAATAGTTATTTATAAATTTTATATTCTTCTGTTAAAATTACCTTCCTATATATTTATTTCACTACTTGAACAACAAATATTTATTTGAAACGAAATTGAGTTAGATACATACGCAGCATATTACAAAAACGAAAATATTATTATTATTAATTTTCTTATTAATGCTATTTGTATGCGTTAATTGAACTAATAGAGATGCATAGATAATAGAAAGTAGTGTATTAATGCTGAGTATATGAATGTGTATAATTGTTTTGACTTTTATTACAAGTTATGAATTTCATACCGCTATATTTTCAATAAGAAATAATTTTGAAGTTATAAGAATAAATTTAAAGTTTCTGTATATTTATATACTAACCCTCAATATCACAGTAGCTTTTCATTAAAATCTTAAATGTGGTTTAGAAGAAATAGAAAATAATACTTATAAATAGGACATTAGCCTCAAACAATATTTATAAAAAATATAATTTTCAGTTTCTAAATAGAAGAGGAAATTATATAAAAATCAACGTAATGTAAAAATGATATCAAAACGACATCATTTTGACATCATCTTGATTTTTATGTAACTTTTTGTTTTACTGCACAAATGCATTTTTTGATTATATGAGACATTAGATAATTGAGATATATAAAAGCAAACAATCAATTTTTGTCTGGACAAAATAGAGTACCTATTTAACCCTTTTGCTACGGGGGTTCTTTCCGTCGGAGCCCTGCCACTGGACAGGAGCCTACACCAAAATTGTACACATTGCGCATGGTCAGCCTTCGGCTTTTTCGATTTATGTCTTACACGACACCGCTTTAACATGCGTTTGTATATACACGTGCTGGTTATATCCGACGCTCGACACTCAAGTTATCGTGTGGATGCCTTATATATCCGGCATTCGTACACACGGGTCGTCGCATGGATGCCGTATATATCCGGCGCTCATAATAAAAGGGTTAAAACGACGNTAACGACGTTTTACCTGATTTTAAAGAGACATAAGCAAAAAAGCTTGAACTTTAAAGACAGCGTGTTATACAAAGTGTATTTTCATATTATGGTATTTTAATGCAATTTAACCCTCTCCAGTAGCATTCAATATGTTCGTTCGAAAAAATCGATTCACCAACTTAATGATTAAAATTATGACGTGCTAACTCAAACGGGCCAAACATAATATGAAGATTGTAATTCCAAATGTATTTCGATATTTTTCAAGTTAAACCTGATGATTGCTATGATCAATAAAATCGACGCGTTTATCACTTGTGCATTTATTTGCGGACATTTCTTGTACATGTTTTGGTGCAATTACGCTGGACAGGAATTGATAAATTACAATGCCGAAATTTATCGCCAAACGTAAGCATAACAAGCATTAAATATTAGATGTCGGTCAAATATAGTAATTATCTGCAAAGAGAATGACATGACTGTGTGATGTATATATACTCAGATATAATGCACAATGGTACACATCATCCGTGCATTGTCAAAAAATGGTGATCTTAATATTATGTAGGAGTGCAAAACCTCCTATCTTTGGTGTTTCAAGTGTATTTTTGGCGACGTTGGAGGGTTTTGGAACGGTACTTATAATTCATATGGATAACATAATTAATAACTTTTCATGACATTGTAATACCACAATTAATATTACCGCTGTTGCGCACATAAGAATAAGCATTATGATATTATATATGTGTGTAACAGTTTAAAGTTAGAGCTTGTTGATAGTAACATGATTCGTGTTCTGTTTCAGATGATAAGCATGTCTCTGACTTATTTTGCAGTAATTTATTCCGTCCAATGAAACTAAAAATAGTAGGACGTAATAAGTATCTACCCTCTAGAAATAGATCAAAAGATTCGGTAGCATCTCTCGCCAAGTATATATATAGAGTCATATATTATACCATCGAGATGGTATCGTGTATCCTTTACAGAACAGGGAATGCTTTTAAAATATTAATTGTTGTACTTTATAAATAAATTATTTTTGTCGAAAAACGAGAATAGTTAAAATTTTCAGAACTATGGTTTTTTGCGAATAAATAAAGCTTAGAACGATGCCGGGAGACCTATTTAATGCAGATACACAAATATGAACGTACAATTTCTATCCTGAAATATGTTGTTCAGATATGTCGTCGTGGTCATCGTCGTCGTCTTCGCAAATTATTTATATCTAGTAAGTTTCTTGTGAGCTGACAATATTACACAAAAGAGATGGTAAGCAACAAAGAGATGTTTTTCATACACAACAAGATCGGTTTTTCTGAAGAACGATGCAATTATTTTCTTGCCAACATTTCGACTATGTTTCACTTTTGTTGGATGTAGCTCGGCTAGGAACATCCACACACTCATTTGTCGTTTGCTTTACAGTTCATAGCAGTAAATCCACGATTTGTTACGATGTCATACACTGCTTTGTACCTTGATCGTATTTTTTTCTTAGCATTTCTTTGCTCCATTAGACGTATCTTTTTGGAGCTTTAAGTATGAGTAAGTTCTGATTTAGAGCTTATCAATAGTGATATTTGATTCGTATTCTATTTCAGCTTGCAAGCATGGCTTTGAGTTATTTCATGGTTTTTTATTCTGTTCAATAAAATTCATGATAAAAGATAACACAATAAATATCTATTCTCTGGAAACAATTATAAATAGTCCTATACATATACATTTTCTATTCTATAAGAAATCAAGATTGAAATTAGATCAGACGTTATATAGATTAATATCGAGTCAGCCAATGTTTGGAATTTTGAATTACCTACCCGCAATCACTATGTGTAATATTCACGGTGGAAAGATAAATGGATATGCGATAAGATATTATTTTCCGCTGACCCGAGGCAATTTCACATATTATCTCGTTATAGAAAAGTTCAATTGCTGTTAACAGCGTTGTTCACGTTCCACTCGGAAAACTCTACGATCGAATCAAGAAGAAATGAGTTTTATCGGAATGTAAAATTTCACATCTTGCAGCTATGTTTTATGTGTGCAGTTTATTACTCACAAGGTGCATGTCCTGGACGTATCTGCAGTATCGTTACAAGTCACATCGCAGAGATCAATCGCGGAAATGCGTTCGTCGACTGACCGGGGGTTGCGAGCGTGCGCACCTTCTGCGCATGCGTCTCCACGTTGGATATAAAGAAAGTATCATCATGGTTTTACAGTGCGCAAGGAAAAAGGAATAGCGGACGCTGTCTAGCCATAATTCACTTAATCATACCATTTACACCGTTATTTTCTGGCGACGCGTCGCGATATTCGTAATAATCGCTTTACGATCCACTTTTCGCAAACCGCTCCCTAATTTGTTTCCTTTTTTTGCCGCGCCGCACATTGTCATGCATGATGAAGCGGGCGTGACCGCCCTGACTGCGATCGAAAATGCGATGTCATTCGCTTCGCAAGAATGGACTTCGACGGTAGTCGATACTACACAATTAATCGAGTGATGTTGTCGTCCATCGGTTTATGGCCGTATCAAAAAGCGTGGTTCATTCGAATACAAAGAGTTTTTTGTTTAGTTTGTCTCATGCTTGGTTTAACGTTTCAGGTATCGTTAAACGTGGTTCACCACGACCGGGAATAATCTCCGATCGATTCTCCGAGTCGTGTTACGTTTTACTGTCATTCTTTCATAATTGGCGCGGCATTGTGTCTCATGTTGAGCTACTTTCAGTTAGTCCCGCTTTTCACACTCGAATTTAATCTGGAGTTACTACTCGAGGTTCTAACCTACGTGATACCTTGCCTGATCGTTCTTCTGAAGTACGTCTCGTTCTGCGTAAAAACCGAATCGGTAAGTTAATATCGCGTAACAATTGAGATAAATTCATAAATTAGTAAATTTATGTAAGAATTAAGCGGACTCATGCTGGTCGTCCACAAAATTAAGACCTATTTTAGAACTTTCGGAACTTCCAGATTGAACGTTTTAAGCTCGTCTTCCTGTGCAGGTATTTTGATTTTTCGATGGAATGCTTATTCAGACCTACCATCCGCAAAAATCAAATTTCCGCTGAAAGGAACGATTTCGAAATTTTTAATTTGCGGGATCCATAAGTTCATGAGTAGCTGCTAATTATTATTAATTATTAGAGCTCTTCGTTTCTGGAAATGTTAAACGGCGTCATACTAGAAATAAGGCATTTTGTGTGCAATCGTAGATGAGAAATCTGATGGAGACGATAAGGTACGACTGGAACACGCTGAGGAACGAAATGGAATATAAGATCATTCATAAGTATACTCATATGGGGGCGCTTTACGCGCAGGTGTTTGCACGTAAGACACTAGCGAGGGAACTTGATTGAAACTTTGTCGCGCTGTTTGCCGAGTTAAATGTCAATACTATGTCCGCTTTATTAAACCATCGAGTTACGCTTCGCGTCTAGCGCAATCTGCCGGGAACGTAAAGACGACTGCCTCAGATTAATTAACCTTTCCGACCGCACACTTCTGACAAGTCG